CTGAGGAATATTAGTTGATTTGGTGTAACCACCTCGTTACCCCAAATCCACTCATATTCCTCAACTTGTATAATGAATGTATTTTGTAGTGGGGTAATGAAGTCATTACTCCTTGGTATAATATGGGGAGTGAATGTTAATTTACTTTCGTTGACCTCATGTTAGGATATCCTGCCGTCTGACTGTCGATACTCGGGGTAATGGTATTATGACATCTATGGAAGGAGTAGGGCTATCTTCTAAAAACAAACGATAATTCCAAATATTTATAAGTTAATGATTATATTATTATTTGTTTTGAGTGACTATTTTCATCTTGTTTTCGAATAGTGTTAGTCATCTTTTCTCCAAAAATGTTCGATAAAACTATTGAATCAAGATGAAAACTCTACTCTGCTTCTACAAAACTGCATAGTTCGATTAATTATGATCAATCAAAACTTTTTCATCATCCTTTATTACTTAATTCTCATTTAGATTATAAATTAAATATGATTTATATTTTAAGGAAAAAGCTGATTATTTATTTTAGTTATAAGAATAAAACGCACACAAAAAACATAAGATTTACGATTCAATGTTTTATATATAGTTTATAAGTGACGAAGTAATTCCCAATCGATTTAAATTCGTGAGAGTTTAACCACTTGATCACTATCTTTAGGAAGCACATACAAATTCAGATCCGAATCAAAGGCAAGATCTATTGGTTTTTTGAGTGACGGTCCAGAACTACCATCTTCAGCAACAACAATGCCAACTGTTGAATTGGCACAAAACATAACGATGCGATCATTATCTCTATCAGCAACATACAAATTACCATACGGATCTAAAATCATGCGTGTTGGATTGTTAAGATTATGTTGACTGTCATTCACTGTTTGGAGACTCATACTTTGACTTGACGCACCAAATGTCCATAAACCAATTAAGTTGGAATTTTGATCACTGATATAGATTTGATTTGATGAATTCGGTACGAGAAGAATATCATAGTCTTTATCCATATCATTATCACTGATCAAGAGAGTACCGCTTGTTGCATTTGGAATCCATTCTACTAATCGTTTATTATTCGTATCAAGAATATAAATATTGGAGTTATTGTCAACGCCAATGGCTGTTGGCTTGTCTAGTTTAGTCAATGCACCTGAATTACTACCAGTCGTTCCAGCAACAGTTGTGCCACTAGTAGAGCCTGGAGCAAACTTTTGCACGCGATAATTGCTATAATCAAGGACATACATAAATCCATTTTGGTCAAAAGTAAGATCTATGGGATTATTGAGCAATGCAGATGTTGAACCTTGATTACCTGTATTATCTCCAGCCACTGTTGTACCCGTTGTAGCACCTTGAACCCATTTTTGAACACGGTTGTTATTATTATCACAAATATATAGAGTATTATTATTGTCGATATACAAACAAGTTGGAGTATCTAGTTGACTAGCACCTGAACCGTGTGTTGTTGTTCCAGCAACGATCTGACCTATTTGATTCCAACGTAGATTGTTACCTTAAATAAGATATTAAAATTTATATATATCTTATCATTTTTATACAAAACAACTAACAAGAATTAAATGCTGTTGTAGTTGTCGATGCTAAATTAAAACAAATAGAATTTGTTAATAAATAAAAATTTCAGATTAATAAATACACGTGATAGGATGTGGGTGGGACAGATATATCAATAACACCCTCTAGTATCTATAGATTTCTGTTTCAGCATATTTTAGATTATTTAATATGAGATAAAAAGAATATTTATACTTACATGTTGTCGATGTAGTGCTAGTTGAAGTGCTCGTTGTAGAAGTGCTTGTTGATGTTGATGTACTTGTGCTTGAACTAGTCGAAGAAGTGCTTGTTGATGTACTTGTACTGGTTGTAGAGGTACTGGTTGATGTACTTGTGCTTGAACTACTTGTAGAGCTGCTTGTTGATGTACTCGTACTTGTGCTAGTTGAAGTTGTTGCTTGAATAAAATAAAATTATAGAAAAAGTTAATTTTTTTTGAAATATATTTATTTACAAGTCGATGTCGACGAGGATGTACTTGTAGTTGAACCTTAAATAGAAGGAAAATTCTGAATAATGAAACAAGAATATATATATGAAATGATTACTTGAGGTACTCGTTGTTGCTGTTGTTTCTTTATATTTCATAATAGTAAACTTATTATAAATATTTTATTTTTAATCTTTTCTTACTTGTAGTTGTAGTTGTGTTTGCAGTAGTCATCGTTGATTGTAGTGCTAATAAAAGATTATCAGTGATTTAAACATAGATGTAAAAAAAATGAAAGAGTGTCATTGGCATTATCATTAATGGTAAACTGACATGGAAAGGAATGATTATCTGACACACAAAACATGTTCATATATGGTAGCGAGGGTGGGTGTGACTAATATGTCAATCTCGCAAGTACTAATGCAGATAATAAATTCTAATCAAGTCTTATTAAATAAATAAATTCTAGAAAATCAAGAATCGGTAGCCTCTAATTATACTTACCATTAGTGGCAACAATTGCCGCAACTATTGCAAGTAGAACCCCGATGATTGCAGCAGCGATTAAGGTAAAACAACAGCATTGTGTGATTTGGAATTTTCCATATCTTTTCAATTACATTTGATTTCGATCAAAGTTAGAAATAAAAATTATGTGAACAAATTATTTACTTTTTTTTGTTTATCCCATTTTCATTCTCTGCCTTCCGAATGAAATTGCTAAATGGATTGAAACTACGATAAGATTTACCAAGATTTTTCTTGTTGAATGACATTTGATCTCTGCTTGTATTTAATCTCAATAAACCATGTTCTGATGTAAAGGATGTATCTCCAGGCTGAAAGATAGAAATATTTTGAAATAATAGACTAATATATAACACTAAACGTTTATTTTCCATGCATAAGATGAGTTAGCAAATAATATTACCTATCGTTTATTATAACATAAATGACTTTCGAAAAATAAGGCAACTCTGCACCAGTATAGACTGATAGATAACGGTGGGTGTGTGTGAAGATATTCATAAGATCCACATCCATCCACCCTGAACTGATAGTCAACTTACCCGTTCCATATGAACAAATAGATCATGAGTCTTGTTCTGATCGCCCATAGATAGGCTCCTATTTTTGTGACCATTCAACAACCTACTTACATTTTTCTGATTGGTCGATAATGAATGTATGTCTTGTGCATGAACTAATAAATATTTTCTCTCAATTAAGTTGTTAAATCATTAATTTGTTTTACCTTTATTACTTGGTGGTCGAGACACTCTTTGCACACGAACTGTTGAATTTCGTGTATGATTTTGATTATTAGATGGTCGACTGGTCTTGTTTACGTGTACAGATGAACGATTGATTGTCGTCGTTGATACAGATAATTGCTTCCCCTATTATAAAATTAGACTTTTAGTAGGCAAGTTTCTAGATACCAATGATGAAATACACGTACTATTTTTCCATTATTTTGAGTGTCTACGAATATGTTTGATAACGATGTCATTTGAGAATTTGTTGATTTATTTGATACCTACAAAGTGTTTTGCTAATGTTGAGCAATCGAATTTATCTTTAAAATGACTCACACTAGGCTGATGGATACTTCGATGTATACTCTTCAAAATTTGAATAGACTGTTAACTATTAGAGTCTTAGTATGTTAGTTCTGCAACACTCGTCACATTGCTCAAGAATTCAAGGCGTATTAGATTGTGGGGAGAATACTTTCTACTCTGCAATGTTGAGCATTTCGGAATTGCAACTCATGAGATAACATTACCATCACACCCTCTCGTATGTACGAAAGAGTAACATGAAATTTGTGGCAAAATACTCACAAAACTATTGAAAAGTTTCAATAAATTCAAAAAAAAAATAAATAGCGATAGCTGTTGAAATTCACTCAACGGATGAAAAGTTTTGTATTACATTATAAATGTTCAAGTGATTTTTTCTAAAAAATTTTTATTATCTAAGTGATCTATACGAGTTTTAATCAAGATTCTTTTAGATATACTTGCACATAATAAGTTATAATCTTTGTGAGTACATCACCTTTTCAAATTTCGTACTCAATTTTTTTCTAGAACTTATACTATTTTTACGATATTGTTGTTTAGATTTGATTCCTACCTTTTAAGAAATTGGCTGTCGGTATAGATATATAAAAGTTGAAGAAATATTTTAGTATGTTGTTCGTATGATGAATTTCTTCTACCGACTGACGATACACAACCAATTTTTCTCCTCTATTAAAATAATACAATCAAACAGAAGCTCTAGTTATATATTCAACAAGAAAATAATAATTTTTGTGAATTGAATTTTTTTTACGGTTGATTATTTAGACATAAAATTAGATAGAAGACTTTCATTTTGTTTCAAATTTCAATATGAAACTTAATTAAAACTCTGTTAGTAATATATTGTATATGAATACATATAAGAGCGGTATTGAGAACGAAAATATCTTGATAGCTAGTGGGAAAAAACAATAAGAACTATGAAACATTACAAGAAATCGAGAAACCCTATTATATATCATGTTTCGTAAAAGACACTTGTATCCTTCATTTTGTTTTATTAAAAAAATGAAGTGTGTCGCAATTTCAAAGGTGATTTCAAATTTCTATCATTTTTTAAATCCAACGTATCATTTAGAAAATTAATTTAATTAGCTTCTCTCGTATATGTGGTTTTCCCTAATAACGTCAAAGATAAAAATGTCGAAAAGAAAAATATCGAAAATAAAAAGCATACAAACATTGACAGATGAAAATGTAGAGAGTGGAAGTTTACGAAAAGAGAAATCATTTCCACCCTGACACACACTCGCACCTCTCACTCATCATCGTTGTTTTATGCTCTCGAGTTTCTTCTTTTCGACATTTTTATTTTGAGGGTGTGGGTGCATCTTCTCTTAACCTTCACCTTCATATACACTTACACCCATCCATTCATATTCAACGTCAGAACTTTTTTATGGATATTTTCAACATAATATTTATTTTAAAATTACTCATGAAATCTTATTATTTTTTTATTGATATAAAAATTGAATTAGAAATACATGAAAACGCTTTTATCCTATGTACAAAAAATGAATTGCCTGAAATATAATTGTTCAAAAAAAGTATTAATTTTTTGTTTGATTGGTCAAAACATCAACTTGTTCTTCAACACTATCGAAGAGATTGGCTCGATGTGGTTCCCATCCTAATTTGCGCAATCTTTCTGCCTTGGAATTTGATTGACTTCCGAGTCCCCTCCAACTTGCTGAACCCCATAGAGCATCTTCTACTTCATTGTCAGGAAAGCTTGTGACATTTGATGATTTGATAATACCTTTCTTGTAAAGAATTTCAGCAATTTTTTCAGCCAATTGTCTCCATGAATGTCGTCCATTTTCAGTAAAATAGTATCCTTCACGTCCTGTAGTTAAATATGGATTGGGTTTCGCATCATGTTCGGCATTAGGTCCATAAGCAGCAAGAAGTTGATCGAAAAGAACAATATATGCATCAACTAAATCATCAATATGAATATTGTTCCATGTCGATTCACCTAGTCCAATTGTTTCAACCTTGCCTCGTTTTAGAGCAGCTCGAATTAATACTGGAAGTTGAATAGAAGTCTGATTGAAAAGTCCTTTACCAATGCCATAGATAAGAGGTGGAAGAACAATGACACTCTTCAACAGAGGATTAGCTTCTGCTGAGTTAATTACTAAGAGATCAACATTTCGATGTAATTGTTCATCAGCTAAACCATTGATTTGATCAGAATCAAGATCATTATAGACTGTATTCGATCCTTTCTTACCACGAACATCTTCAGTTAGAACACCAGTACCACTAGTATGAATATAAATAACAGGTTTTCCTGTTGTTTTAGTTCGTTTATTCAAACCAGCAATAATTGCTTTAGCTGATGGAACATCATCAGCTGAGTCGCTTGTATGAATAACTACATGTGATTCGCTGGCTGCTTTCTCGATGATATCATGAGAATCATTTGAACCAATTAATGGAGTAACACCGAGTGATGCAAGTTTGTTAGCTCGATTTACATCACCACGAATAAGAGCAGTTATTTTAAAATTTGATGCATTTGGATGTTGAAGAAGACCAGCGAGAAGAGAACCTCCTATATATCCACTTGCACCTGTAAAGAAAATATTAATTTGTTGTGAAGACATCTTGTATGAATTGAGATATGAAAAAAAAACGTCTATTTAAATAAGAATAAAATATGCTTGTATATTCATGACTCAGCAAAAAATATTACCTTGATGACGAGATATAACGAACGAAAAATGCAACGTCACTATTCGTCATTCTTTTTTCCTCTATGAAACCTTAAAAAAAGCACATTTTTCTTTACTCTTCATCGTCATATTGTATATTCATGTATCGAACGAATATTTTCACTATTACTATTAATAGACAAAGCACTACTTGTTAACCAATATTGTAAATATTTAATCATCTTTCTCTAGTTAAATTTTATTCTAAAACTAATCACATCAGATCAATATGCTGAAAAGATTATTGTAGATATAAATTAGAAACAATATAAGTCAAATGACTCTCTTCGATTAAGATCAATATCAGTCGTATTAATTCTACGAGATAACTTTCTAAACTAATCATTGATGATACCATTATACATATGTATTCAAATAGTTATCTATCTTCTGATTCTATTAAAATTAGATCTGTTCATCATATCGATTGGCTTTTTTCGGTTTTTGATATAAAAGAAGAAATGGCTGCTAACCATGTTTCATCAACGATGTTTGCCGTTTATATCTCATTTTCATTTCTTTCTTTTTTGCGTAAAGACATCCATCCATACCCTTATCTCTTACCCATGTGCTTTGCTTTACATTATGTGTTATATACGGCTGCATCTTTGCAGTATATGAGAATTTTCATTTTTGTTCGTTTTTTTTAACTCGTGCAAAAAGTAGCTAGCATTCGAAAGATGAAGTCTATGATACTACAAATCATGTACGAACTAAGAGAATAGTTTGTTCAAGTGTCGTATTAGAACAAAAGAAATCCAATATATTTTTCCAAAATAATCATATTGTTTTCTCTATGTCTTGCAGAAATATGCTCTGAATTGAACTCTTTTTTGCTTTTCAATTGTAGATATGAGCAGTGAAAGCAGAGAACCGAGCAGTCAACATGTTATTTCCCAACCATTGTTGAAACACAAGAAATTGCCATTTTCAATACATGGTTCGACAATTGAATGTCATGGCGACGATGGCATTGAGGTCACTGGAGATGTTGCTCCTCCTATTCATGTATCAACGACTTTTATTCCGATGCTCCAGAATCATATGGTCAAGAATATAGTCGAATAGACACTATGACACGGAGAAGAGTTGAAGCTGTAATTGGAGCAATAGAAGGTGGTCATGCAGTGACGTATTCAAGTGGGCAAAGTGCAGCTATGGCACTCATTCATTGTATCAAACCACGACGTATCTATCTAAATGCAGGTTATCAAGGTGTCCAATTCGCATTCAAACTGTACACTGAACGTCAAAACATAGAAGATGAGAAAGTTCAACTGCTTACATTGGAACAATGCAAAGAAATCTATGATTCTGAAAAGAAAGAACTTCGCATAGACAGTCCGTCTTGGTGACCAGCAAACATCAAAGAGAAGCGTGCGCTTGATTTGATTTGGCTTGAGTGTCCAAACAATCCACATATAACTCTCGTTGATATTGAATGGTTCGCTGAATTAGCTGCTCAGACTGGTGCTTGTCTTGCAATAGATAGTACTCTTTCATCACCACTCGGTTTACGTCCATTGGAACATGGAGCACATGTTGTCATGCATTCATCAACTAAATATCTTGCAGGACATAGTGATGTACTTGGCGGTGTCCTTATCGTGCACTCTTCATTGTCCGATATGCTTCCATGCACACTCTTACAAGAACGTACTACTGACGGCGCTGTTATGGGTAATTTCGAAACATGGCTTCTACAACGATCAATGAGAACTTTTTCTCTTCGTGTTCGTCGACAGTGTCAAACGGCTTTAATTATAGTACAATGGCTTGAAAAACAACGTGCTGCTGGTTATAAAGTGATGAAAATTCATCATCCGAGTTTAGAATCACATTCTAGTTATTCGTTAGCTGTTCGTTATCTTCGTCTTCTTCCTGCTACGTTCAGCTTTGAACTACAATCTGAATCACAAGCAAAGTCATTTGCTCGATCGTTACTTCTTTGTGCACATGCTACAAGCTTGGGTGGAGTGGAAACATTAGTTGATTGGATTTACTCGTATAATACTAGTATTAGCCCTACTCTTTTGAGAGTCTCTATTGGTGTCGAAGAACCCGAAGATATCATTCAAGATTTTGAACAAGCATTGAAACAAGCAGAATGATCAACTTTCACTTCAGTTAATTTAAAAAACAATCATCTATTACTTGTTATCAACGCTCTAATTCTTTCCTCATTTTATTATTCTCGCTTTCATATGTTAGTATGTGACGCTTTAATAGAATAATATTGATTTTTTTTTTATTTCAATTTCCTTGCTTAATAGAATATTTAATATAAAAAGTTTATTAAAATTTCTCTAACATGGTTATGGCGTGTGGGATGAATATAATACCATACTCATACCCACACCCTTTTATAACGTATTATGTCGTTTTTTTTCACCTTGGATGTCTTTTTGACCCTAATAGGTACACAAGCGCATTTATTTCATATTATTCTTTTCTTTCATTTTTCAAAAAGCTTTCCTTTCAGTGGAAATGATAAACAGAATGAGTCCTCAATCAAGTATACACAGATAATTGGTTGTGCGTGCTAAAGATATCGTCGTTCTTTGATAATATCATAGAATACACTATAATTATATATATATAGATATATACAAAAGTCCTAAGTTCATTTTATCAAAATATCACATCGAGAAAAGTAGAAGTGAACAAAAAAATGTCATCCTCAATTATTTCATTACTTGCTGTAGCTAGTAAACAGATTACTATTTATTTGGGCACTCTTACTCTTGTTGCTGGTGTTATTGGTGGATTACTCAATATCATTGTTTTTCTCAGTTTGAGAACTTTCCGAAAAAGTTCTGCTGCATTTTATTTGACTATTATGTCCATTTGCAACGTAGGCCAAATGTTTACAGGTTTACTTCCTCGTATTATGACTAGTGGTTTTGGCATTAATTGGTCATTAACATCTCTATTTTATTGCAAGTTTCGATTGTATTATTTTAATGTATGTGCAACAACATCAATGACTTGTATCTGTCTAGCAATCATTGATCAATATTTAGCCACTTCTTCTCGTGCACAATGGCGACTATGGTGTAATATGAAAATAGCTCGTCGTTCGGTATTACTATTTGTTCTCATTTGGATTATTCATAATATTCCTTATTTGATATATTACGATCATGTTATATCGACAACGACAGGTCAAGTTACATGCATAAACACAAATAATATTTTTCAACAATATGCTATCTATGGACCTACTTTAATTATTGGGAAAATTCTTCCTATCGGTATTACATTTGTGTTTGGACTTTTGGCTTATCATAATGTACAACAACTAGGTTATCGAACAGCACCTTTGGTTCGTCGTGAACTAGATAAACAGTTGACAGTGATGATTTTAGTTCTCATTGTTTTTGCTTTCTTTACTAATATGCCGTATACTATTGCATTAATTTTATCAACAACAACACAACTCACTCAAGATCCTGTCTTATCAGCACAAATTCAATTTGCTATTCTTGTGAACACATATTTTGTTTATATATATTTTGCAGTGAGTGTGTTTAAATTAAGCATACAGAAGGATAACAATTCTTTGTCTATTTTTAGAGTCCATTTTACATATATATATGTGTATCGAATCGATTTCGTCGACAGTTCATATATGTATCATTTGAGATATATCTTAATCGATGGCAACCAGGAAGAATGGTAATCAATCAAATTACGCCAGAAACTTGAGTAATACCAGATACCGATGTCTGTCCATTACAAAATGTTTTTTAAATGTTATTTTAGTGTTGTAATTGTAAAGTGATCATTGTTGTTTATTAATATTAAAAATTAACACCAAATCATCTTTTGCTTTTCTTGTGAATGTTTATTGAACGATTAGATTCTAAAGAAATTAAAACGGTGCATTCCGTACTTGTTTTGTGAAGCATCGATGTTTAATAATTGATGATAATAATAATAAGAGTATAAATTTAGTTTCTTCTAATTACTGACGAAACATAATAATTTGCACTGCTTCAACTTTTTAATTCACTAATATCTGGTGCATGATAAACAGACTACTTAGAAGCGAGTATAACATAATACCAACAAACTAAATGTATTAGCAACATTTTATTGTTGCTTTTGAAGAACGAAGAAAATGTATATTTGTTTTGTTCTTATCTAGGAATGACGCATAAATGAATTATTTTATTATTTTCTTCAATGATAGAGTGTGGGTGTGGGTCTCAGTCTGAATGTGAAGATATTTTCATCAAACACACTCACATCCTGATTATCACAGAAGAGTCTATGCAACGAAAATAACACATTTGTTTTCTGTCAATGCGTTTGGTACATGAGATGAAAATTCGAAATAATATCGACATACTTTATTCACCTAAATAGCGTTTCTTCAAACATTTTTTTCTATATAAACAATTTACTAGTTCGATACAATTTTAGTAAATATTACCAAAGACTTTATTTTTGGTAAAATCTGAAAGATAATCCTGATTATAATAGTCGAAGATCACCTTCACTAAACCTAAGCATGTAGATAAATCACATACTTCGAATTGAAAGGCAGGATAAGATTAAAATTTAAAATAATCGAACGATCTATTATTCATGCTTTTACACGCATCTGCAATATGTTAACATAAACCGTTGGAATTTTTAGCTCATTTGTTTTGTCTTTCTATGTTGGGAAATATTTTTTATGTTGATATTCTTTATTTTGACTCACTTGTTTTTTTTCACTTTTCTTTTCTTACATTTTATCCTCCATCACGCCACATCTATAAAGGATATCTGATACTAGCTGAGAATAAATTGTTTATGATAGTTTTCATATCTAAAAGTTTTACTTCTCTTAATAAAACAAGCGACGATATGATGCATCGACAAAATTAAAATACATCGTACCAGATCTCAAATAACTATTGTTAAAGCTGTTATTGCAAAATACAGGCTTCGATAACACTATGTGTTACCTTGATTTTTTAATGCAAGTTTTTCTATTCTATTCTCTCAACAAAACGTCGATTTATGACGATTATATTTTCGATTATTTCTTTTATCTCATTTATTGAAAGGTTATAATCCAAATGGCTGTAAATTGTAGTAATAAAAAACTGCAATCGAATGAAAATGATATCTTCGTCGTTGATGCTGCAATTCTTCAACAATCAGAAGTGCTGAAAGGCTTTGCGGAAAGTGAGAAGAATAATTTGAAAAGTTATTAATAATTATTATTCAATTGGCGTTTTATAATATTTTTAGCATCAGACAAGGATGGCGTCATTCCACTGCCGAACATCAATTCGGCTACTTTAAAAAAAGTAATTTTTCTTTTGTCAATAACAATAAAATATTTTTATTTATAATTTTTATTTTTATTAATACAGGTAATTGAGTGGATGAATTATCATCAGAAAAACATGCCACAAACCGAAGATAATGACGAAGAATTATCAGAATGGGGTCAAAATTTTCTCAAGGCTGATATTGCTATGATTTCTGATTTAGTTCTGGTTTGTTTGCTGTAATATTAAATTACGTATTCAGTCAATTTTTTTCTTACTTTTCTAGGCAGCTAATTTTCTAAATATAAAAAGTCTGCTAAATGCGACATGTGCACTAATCGCCTATATGATTAAAGGTAGAGCACCAGCCGAGATTAGACGTATGTTCGATATTCGTGGGAATCCGATACCGGACGAGGTTCGTTCTATGAAATCTTTTCTTTATTACTAAATAATAACTATTTATAGTAAAAACAAATAGAAATGCAAACGATTAAATATGAAAATTAACCATTGAGAACTATTAAAAAATCTAATTTTCTATTAACCTCGCAATGTTTATGTGCTGTTTCGTATTCATACATGTTTCTCATTTTTAATGTCCTTTTACAAATAAACTGGATGTGTTTATTATATGCATATCATCACACTCACATGTTTACGAATAAAAGAAAAAAAGAGATCAGAATACTAAACGTTTTACGACTTACCTAAAAATAGGCGTGGGTGTGGATTTGAGTGTTGTAATCTTTTCTCCAACTATATCATCTCCAACGCCCACACTCACACCCTATTAATAATGAACATCTTGTCGATCGACAGTTGCTATTGGAGAATAAATGCCGCAGGAAAGCAAATGCCATGAAAGAAATTGTCTCGGGTGTACGATTTATAGATTCATTTTTTTGTGATTCTTAATGTACAATTTAGTAGGGAAATATTGCATTTGCAAGTACATTTTTGCACAAGATATAGTATTTCTTCTATAAACACAATATCTCTCATATGCCCGTGCATTTCTTCACGATCCCTAATTTTCAGAAATAATTGTCGATCGTATCACCTTACGTTTAGATAAAATCAATGAAAATGAAGACAATCATTTATCAAAATAATATTTATCAGATTATATTGAATCGGAGCAATGGGTGATATACTATTTCATTTCAAAAACAATATGGATTAAAATCGCATCTGTACGATAGAAATAAAAAGAATGAAACACATTTTAAATATTATTTCATTTCAATAGAAGCTATGATTCCTTACTTCGTTTTCATTTTTCTTAGGTAAATCATATTGTTTCGTATTTTTCATTGCCTTATTATTTATTAGTTTTTTTTTCTATTTTAGTATTATAGGTTCGATTTCTATTTTGTTTTACAAACTCACCTTTTCATTCTTTTATTGATAGTTCAAGTGAAATCCCAAATATGTAATGGAATTGCACAGTATGATCGATGTTCGACAAATAGCGCCTGCGGCTGCTTTTCTAACACAAATGGTACTGATAATGGCATTTGTGCTTTTGTTTGGGCGACTTGCTCTACACTTGAGACATGTGACGCTTCAAATAATAAATGTCATCAGCGTAACACAGTTTGTGTTCGACATCCTCGATGTCATAATCGTCCTGTTTGTTATCCAATATCAATGACTGCTCAACATATCTGTCCACCTATGAAACCAAGTGAGAGATTTCTATGAAATATTGACCTTCATTAAAGTGAACTTTTTGATTTTACACAGAGTTTAACAAAATCACTTAAATTATCCTTTTATTTATACTATGCGATCTTGAGGGTAGATGCGAGTTAAGAGACGGAATCCTTACACTCTCATCCAGCAAGTACTCATAGATTTTAGTTTTATGAAAGGTATCTTATCAGAAGTAAACATTTCTTGATCAACCTTTAAAAGTGTTGTTTCTCATGAGTAATATCGTTATTGAAGTATGATAAATATGAATTTTTTGGCTCGATTTGGTTTGAAAGCCTTAAAAAGTTAGTGAGTTCGACTCTACTTAGGATTTGATTAGTTTAGTTTGAAAAGATTGCGAACCACTTTCATTTCTAATATTATAATTTAGAGAAGTTTCTTATCTTATGCTTATCCTTTATTTGATGATTAGTTTGTGGTGACTGTTATGATGGCTTATCTAAATGTTGCAATACATGCCAAGACGTTATAGATACTTACGTATTATATGGTTGGGCTTACGATATATCGAAATTTGCGCAGTGTAATCCATGACAGCAAAACGTGTTTTTTCTGCAGTTTTACGATTCATCCGTATGAAATGGTGATTACGAAAAAAAGATTTGTCACGAACACGTTTTCTTTTTATTCTGTATTGTTTTAATGCTGTTACAAGTGAAATTTTTGTATGTCTTTTTAACCGTAATCGAGGGACTGGGGACTACATATAACTTTATTCATATTCATTTTATTTAATTAGTCTTTTATTCTAGTTTTTTGTTATTTTATTTGCTTTTGTTTGTTTTTGTGTTTTCTGTACAATCTCTGTTAAAAACTTTTATTTTCTGCAGTTTTCTTTTTTTTCTTTTGGATTTTAACAAGCGTTGCTTTAGAATGAATGGAAAAAGGAAAAACATCGAAGAGAAAATATCGAAAGTTAAAATTTCTCAATAATGAGGAATGCTGATGAATTTGTTAACAATTTTATTTAATAAACAAAAAATAAGAGTGGGTGTGAGACAGTTACAGTGTACACACGCGTACCCACATCCTCATATATAGGTCTGTCTGTAGGCAAAATCTTAGGTCAAAATTCCGTTCTTCACTTCTTTGGTATGTACCATGCTCTAGACTAAAACCGCAGTAAAATATCAATAACTCTGAACTAAAGGTCTAATGACACCAGATCTTTTGATCAATATTTATAACGTATTATGTGGTTTTTTCACCTTGGATGTCTTTTTGACCCTAACAAGAACACAAGCGCATTTATTTCATAAGACTCTCTCTGCAATCGAGGGAATATGACATTATATCAAAGAAAAAAAGATGCTATTCATGACATGTAATATGAAAATACATGATAAATTTGCAATATTTAATTAATACGTATGTTATGACAGAAATGAATTTCATTGATGCATATAACATGCAAATATATTCTTTTCTTTCATATTTTAAAGACCTTTTGATTCACTGAAAATGATAAATATAATGAGTATTTAACCAAGTATATATAGATAATTGGTCGTGCTTTGATAATATCGTGGAATGCGTTATAATTATATTTATATATAGATATATACAAAAAGAAAAAGTTCATATCATTGAAATTTTACATCAAGAACAGTAGAAGTGAACAAAAAAATGTCATCATCAATTATTACATCACTGGCTGTAGCTAGTAAACAAATAACTCTTTATTTGGGCACATTTACTCTTATTGCTGGTGTTATTGGTGGATTACTCAATATCGTTGTTTTTCTTAGTCTGAAAACTTTTCGAGAAAGTTCTGCTGCATATTATTTGACTATTATGTCTATTGTCAATATAGGTCAACTGCTTACAGGTTTACTTTCTCGTATTATGACTAGTGGTTTTAATATAGATTGGACATTAACATCTTTATTTTATTGCAAATTTCGATTGTACTGTTTTAATACATGTGCAATGATATCAATGACTTGTATTTGTTTGGCAATCATTGATCAATATTTAGCCACTTCTCCTCGTGTACAATGGCGTCAATTGTGTAATATGAAAATAGCTCGTCGTTTAGTATTCCTATTTGTTCTTATTTGGATTATTCATAATATTCCTTTTATGATCTATAATGATCATATTATACTGCAAACGACAGGTCAAGCTACGTGCATAAACACGAATAATATTTTTCAACAATATGTTTCTTATGGTACTGCTTTTGTAATTGGAAAAGTTATTCCTATTTGCATTACATTTGTGTTTGGACTTTTGGCTTATCATAATGTACAACAACTAGGTTATCGAACAGTACCTCTTATCCGTCGTGAACTAGATAAACAATTAACAGTGATGATTTTAGTTCTCATTGTTTTTGCTTTCTTTACTAATATGCCATATATTATTGTAACCATTCTATTAGCAATACCACAATTCACTCAAGATCCTGTCCTTTCAGCACAAATACAATTTGCCAATCTTATGGCCATATATCTTGTTTATATATATTTTGCAGTGAGTGTGTCTAAATTAAACATAAAGAATGAGAAGAATTCTTTTTGTATTTTTAGAGTCCATTTTACATCTATGTATGTGTATCTAATCGATTTCGTCGACAATTGATACATGTATCATTTGAGATATATCTCAATCGATTGCAACCAGGAAGAGTGGCAATCAATCAAGTTATGCCAGAAACTTGAATAGTATTAAATACCTGTTTCTATTCATTACAAAATGTTTTTTTTAATGTTGTTTTAGTGTTGTAATTGTAAAGTGATCGTTGTTGTTTATTAATATTAAAATTTAGCATGATATCATTGTATTCTTTACTTCAGAATATTTGTTGAATAATTAGATCCAGAAGAAGTTGAAGCAGTTTATTTCATATCTGTTTTATGAAGCATCGATGTTTGATAATTGATGGTAATAATGATAAAAGTATAAATTTAGTTTCTACCAATTAATAACGAAGTATGAACTTGTTCTGTTTCTGTTTATTAGTTCATTAATATTTATTGCATGATAAAAAGATTAATCAGAAGCGAGTATAGCATAATGCCAACAAACTAAATATATTCACAAAATCTTATTGTTGTTTTTCTTTGCATTGTATATTATGCATTTCTTTCTTGTTTTTTGAAGAACCAAGAAAATGTAGATTTGTTTTGTTACTATCGTGCAATGATGTATGAATGAATTATTTGATTTGTTCTCTTCAATGACAGTTTCTAATACTTGTGACATCAATTTAATGGTTTAAATATAGATCATCTATTTGCAAGAGATATACAATTTTACAATTAACTGAAGATATGGGTGGCTGGGTGTGGGTCTGAGTTTGGATGTGAAAGGTATTTTCATCAACCACACCCACACCCACACCCACCCACACACACCCTCTAGATTCTTTGGATTTACATCCGAAATGACATTTGTGTTTAAAACTTATAATTATACGATGAAAGAATATCTATTTCTTTAGAAAATTCAAACAGCTTCTCTAGAGTTTCTACTGTAAATCTTATATGTATATAGATTGATTTGATGAGGAACATTGATGATCATAAAAGAATGAATTAAATTATAAGAACTTTTTTGTTTATATCATTATTGTGTACAAAACATAAATAATCTTTTTTTTTCTGTACGAAAGATAAACGATGTTTGTAAGTAGCATCAACTTCAATACTAAATATCAATTGTTAAAATTATGTCATTCATAAATGTTTAGTATACAACTTTGAAGGTATCAATATCTTGTTTATCAAATTCACTCTTAAATAGATTCATAAATGATAGATGCTTGTTTTTCTATAAATAAAATTAACTAGTTTAAGACAGAATGTTGATAGGAAATTAGAAAAAAAAATTGTATTTAATAAAGTGCTTTTTTTTTCTTTTTGTAAATTCATTAAACAATTGTTATTTCTTTCATAGGAATAGCAAAAAAGACATCACTCGATTTTGTTTTAGATGTAATAAAAACGATTGTCATATTGAAAGTTGTATAATATAAAATATTCTTCATCGATTATAATAAATATTATGACAAGAGCAATATTTCAAAAAATTCTAGCATTTAATAAACTTATTGTAATACGAATACATCGAAAACCATGTAAATCTCGTTTCCGTCGACACTTAAATTTTTTTGTTGAATAAATAAACTAACACAAAAAATTGAATCGATAAAAATACGAGTGGATGGATATGAACGTTAAATCTATTCTAAATTCACACTCTCAAGATAGCTCATAAATATATCTATATATGTATTTTTTGAAGAAGAACTGTTTCTATGTTGTTATTATTTGTTTGTTTCTATGTATTTTCGAAATTAAGCGTAAAATTCGATTAGAAAATACTTGACAATATCAAACAAATATCATTACTTGTTAAAATCAGGAAAAACAAACGTTCGTTATTTATAAGTGTTTTCTAAGTCATGTCTTTTGATGCTCATTATGAAAGACAAACGTTTTTTTTCTGAGAAAAAGAATCTTGGAGAGAAAAACAGATGGTTTTCGAAGCATTAGTTTATTTTTTAAAAATAGTTTTCCTTTCAAACAATGTTTTTCTTTTCATTGAACTTTTTTTCTCTCGTAGAAAATGAGTTTCGTTGAAATTTTTCAAATTATTATTTTTACTAATTCTTCTACGAAAAAAAATGACTGATTTTTTAAATAAATTTCGAGCTTTTATAAAAGCAAAGTCTATCTCACTGTAATATAAGATCTTAATCATATTTTGAAACACATAACCTATATTTACACAAATAATTTTGAGCTAATTATTGATAGAATCAATATTTGTGTCTTAAGTTATTTTTGGAACAGAAAAAAAAGAATTTGTTATATATGAATACTAAAATATTTAATAAGATGTAAAACTGAAAGAATAGATAAGAGAAATTCATATTATTTTCGTTTTATAAACATAGTCATTTTAAAGCTAAAAAAGTTCTATTAAAGTACATTGAAGCATTTTAGTTCTTCGTTTTACTGATCATCAACTTAGTCAGCTTGGTTACTCTTACTTCCCTTTTTTTTCAAGCGAGTTTTCTTTTGTTTCGGATGAAATAATTCTCTCTTTACATGTGTGTTTGATGTGTTGCCGCTTGAGAACAGATGCTTTTATTATTGGAATAATTACCTTGTAACATTAGCAAACTCGACTGATGGTGAAATACTTTTCGAATGTTTAGGAATGTCTAAAACGTATGTCTAGAACTCGTCAATGTTTTTGAGATGTGTCGAGTAGACTTTTTTCAGTTTTTTTCTTTCTTCTGTTCCAAATTATGATATGATGGAAATTTTACTCCTCCATATATTCCTCTGATTCTTTTTTTTTTGAGTTTAATGCTTTGTTATCTTGTTTTGTTCGTTTTCGCTCTTTGTTTTATATTTTTGTTTTTATTTTTTTGTTATTATGATATTTAACTTCTGTACTGCCAGGACGTAATAGTGATCAATAATTTCAAAATAAAAATAAAAACAAAATATTTTAGCTCATCTCCGAAGCCGCCATTTGATTGGGTATAGGTGTGGGATGGATGTTAATTAATTATCGAACCTACACCCACAATCTCAAGAATAAAAATGGTAGTTTCTGTCGTTTATTTTATTTTAAGAGTAATATTTTTGATACAAATATGAAATATTAAACGAATAAATGAAGTTCAGTTCATGAATTGATTTTAACAATGTAAAATAACATTGATCTCGTCTGAACCAGCATTTGCAACAATAATATCAGGTTTGTTGTCGTTATTCACATCGATAAGTGCAACTGATGCTGGAGTGTCGCCTACTGAATACGTTGTTTGATTTAAGAAAGTACCGTTACCTGTGTTGAGAAGAATACCGACATTGCTCACAGCAGCATTTACGACAGCAATATCGGGTATATTGTCACTATTAACATCGCCTACGGCTACTGCACGTGGATAAGCCCCAACCGAGCGGGTAATTTGATTCGGAAAGGTACCATTGCCTGCATTTAAAAGGATACCAATACTATTTGCATCGCAATTCACTGTAATAATATCGGGTTTGTTATCGTTATTAACATCAGCAACGGTTATGGAGATTATATGAGTGCTATTTACCTGTATAGCTTTATTCAGAAAAACGCCATTGTTCATGTTAAGAATAATACTGATATTATTTGAATATTCTTTTGCTACAATAATATCAGGTTTGTTATCATTATTCACGTCAGCAACTACCAGAGAAATCGGATAAGAGCCAACTTCGAAAATAGAATGATTCAGAAAGGTTCCGTTACCCGTGTTGAAAAGAATGCCAATATTGCTTGAATTATAGTTTGCTACAATAATATCCGACTTGTTATCGTTATTCATGTCGGCTATTACTATCGAAACTGGATTGGCTCCAACAGAGTAAATTGTTTGATTGAGAAAGGTACCATTGCCTGCATTAAGAAGAACGCTGGTAGTATTTGAATTATAATTAGCAACCACAATATCAGATTTATTGTCGTTGTTTACATCAGCTACTGCTACAGATCGTGGATTAGTACCTACTGAATAAACAGTCTGGCTCCGAAAGGTACCGTTGCCTATGTTGAATAAAATGCCAACATTGTTTGACACAGAGTTGGCTACGATAATATCGAGATGGTTGTCATTGTTTACATCGGCGACCACCATTGAGAATGGAGTAGAACCAGTTGAATATGTAGTTGGATCAAGAAACAGGCTACTGCAAGCTATAAAATACAATATTTTTTTCCAATAACATATAGCGCTGAACAGACATGGAGTCTTTAAAACTATATCTCAGCTGTATATCAAAAGCATACTGATGTATCATGGTTATGGCAATGAAGCTATTTCTCATACACTAAGTAATTATATCTTCATTTATTTTGCATATTTATCGTTTCTAACAACAAATTATAAACACACAGAGGCCGACAGAATGATCAGTTGTAATAAATTTATTTAAACTTTTAAATTGAGTCATCTGAACTAATAATATCTCTAAAAAGTAATACGAAACATCCTTCATATCACTTACCAGTTGTCGTTGCTGTTGTTGATACAGTAATTGATCCTATTTTGAAAAATAAAACAGAGGACGTGAGTCTAGATACGTTGTTTTTTTTACATGTATATGATATTGTTACTAACCGTTTGAAAATCGTGTTCCAGACATATCAATCATAGTGATAGTTCCTGCATTTATCGAAATATTACGATTTTGATTCAATACATTGGAAAATAATTCACAATTAGAGGATGATTGATGAAAAGTAATCGCTTGGCATTGAACTTGATCTAAACAAGCTATTTGACAATTGCGAATGTTCAACATACGAATAGTGGCAAATGGTAAACAAGTTGAATTTGCACATTGAAATTGCCAACCAGACATTATAGACATTGTCATTAAATGTGTATTTTGTGCAACTAATTGTGCAACAAGAACAAAAAGATGCACGAAACAAATATTCAATCGAGCAGCCATAATCAACGAGTTTTTTTTCAAAATGAAATGTAGACTATTTTTTGATTGTTATATACTTTCATCAGTATAATGGAAAATTAATCATATCTCTCCTTGCAGATATCAAGGAAGTTTAATTTCCTGAATGATAAAGACAAACAAAAAAACTTGATTTGAGAATACTATAGTTACAATAAAAAAAAAAAGCAATCACTTAAATCAAGTTTATTTTATTATATAAATGTCCAATATTAGTAATGCAAGGGATATTTTTTTGCTATTCTTAAAGCACTTTCATTAATTTTTTTATCACATCAAAATGATTGCACAACTCTTTCTTTTTTTTATTAATTTTGTGTCATTAGAATTTAAAATTGATGAACAACAAAAAAATGATTCAAAAGTAGAACGCTAGTAACGGAAACAGCATTGCCGTCGTTACATACATAATGTCTTTACTTCTATGATAAATTTTAATTGATGAAACCAATGAACTATTCATCTCTTAATGAAGATGCTTGCAGATGTAATTAGTGTGCGTGGAGCGGATAGAGGCTAGAAAAAGACACACATCGTCATCCTTTTATTACGATAACTCTATTACTTCGATAATATAAGTCATCAAGTGAAAAGATAGCCGAATATCAAAGTCACTGGAAAATCATTAGAACTTCTTTTACTCTACTTCTTCGTGATCAAGTGAGCCACTACTTCGAAAAAGATACCAATCTCTTCAAAAATACTTTAGTAAAATCAGTTGCTGACCGATTTCTGTCGTTCATTGTATTAATAATTCATATGATTTTATCCATTTACAGTCTGATATTATTAATTCTCACTGATGAATATTTTATTTTAGAAATTTGAACAATGATATTATAAGAGTTAAAAAGCGCATAGGTGGTTATGTGTTAAGCAATTGCGTAGAACAAATTCACACCCACACCCTTTAAATTATCATTATTATTAAGCCTGCTCCGTGACATTGTTACATTGAAAAGATGTGATTTGTGTAGGTAGCTCAGTGTAAGGTAATGGTTTGAAAGCTTGTAAAGTGCATTGTTGTTGTTCATTGACGATAAATAATAAACGTAGATTAGTACCAGCTACTACTTGTGTCTGAAAACTGAGTACTCGAATGGGTTGAGAGGATAAATCGGAAGTTGCTTCTAATTGTTGCTGTGCTAATGTCACCATTTCAGTTTGTAAAGTATCATCATTACTTGATTGCCATCCACCCAGTTTTCGTTTGGTGCAGGTATCACCAAAGCGAACTATTCCAATACCTAAAATTAGTATGAATAGACGAAGTAACATTTTTATAATAAGTTTGTTATGTTCTGTCAAGAAATAATATAACAGAATATATATGCTATGGCACAGATGTGCACAGCTGTGCCTAATAGAACAATTAAAATAAATGTTTTGTATTTTATTGAATATTAAAGCATTATTTATTGTAACGATTTTTTCTTCTGAAATTGATATTGAAACTAAAAATAACTTTGATGTGAAAATTTTTACACAGCTTCTATGGTCAGGATGGGTGCGAGTGTAAATTTACTCTATACATCCATCAAACATATAACCGCCCACATATTTTCTCGCTATTTCATGTCTATTACTAATCGGACAAGGTTGAAAGTAGATTTGAAACAAAGATAGTTAACAGCAATAGTTTTTAATTGACATGCGATCTGTCTTGTTTGAACTCGATTACTATTTTGCTAATGTATGTATATCTCATAATAACTACTGTTATTCAAATTATATCCGTATAGTTTATGGTTAAAAACTAGACAATATTTTTATATAGAAGATAAGAAAGAAATAAACAACATTTATTTACTTTTTTTCATTCTTCTAGATAGATCTGTACAAGAATGAGTTACATGTTTATCATTTTCATCGATTATAATCATAAAGCGTATTCTAAAAATTATTGCTGACTGAATACCTTTATTTTACAATGCCTTAGTGTGTGTGAGCGTGAAGACAGAATACTATACCTTCATCTTTATCAACACCCACGTTCATCACATAATATTTTAGTTATTTTAGTTTTTATATAAATGTTTTTATCATACTTTTTTCTTCATCTTTCTATTGTTAATTATCAAGAACATCAATAAAAAATAATCATCACCATAATATTAAGTTTTCAACATCCAAATAAAGCAAATTTCATAAGAATTCTATTAATATAAAAATATTCTATATGGTATTATATAAATGACAAAAGAAGATATCATCTATGACCAGCAATAGAAAACTACATGATAAATTTACAATATTTAATTAATAGGTATGTTGTTATAGATATTAATTTCATTAATGCATATAACATGCAAATATATTCTTTTCTTGCATATTTTAAAAAGCGTTCCTTTCACTGCAAATAATAAACAGAATGAGTGTTCAGTCAAGTATATACAGATAATCGTTCGTGCGTGCTAAAGATATTGGCGTTCTTGTATAATATCATGCAATGCATTATAATTATATTTATATATAGATATATACAAAAGTCCTAAGTTCATTTTATCAAAATATCACATCGAGTACGGTAGAAGCGAACAAAAAAATGTCATCATCAATTATTTCATTACTTGCTTTAGCTGGTAAACAAATAACTATTTACTTGGGTATATTTACTCTTATTGCTGGTGTTATTGGTGGATTACTCAATATTGTTGTTTTTCTCAGTCTAAAAACTTTTCGAGAAAGTTCTGCTGCATTTTATTTGACTGTTATGTCCATTTTCAATATAGGCCAAATGCTTACAGGTTTACTTTCTCGCATTATGACTAGTGGTTTTGGTATTGATTGGTCATTAACATCTTTATTTTATTGCAAATTTCGATTTTACTGTTTTAATGTATGCGCAGCAACGTCAATGACCTGTATTTGTCTGGCAATCATTGATCAATATTTAGCCACTTCTTCTCGTGCACAATGGCGACAATGGTGTCATATGAAAATAGCTCGTCGTTTGGTATTACTATTTGTTCTTATTTGGATTATTCAAAGTATTCCTGTTATGATCTTTTATGATCATGTTAACTCGGTAACAACAGGTCAAGTTACGTGCACAAGTACAAATGATATTTTTCAACAATACGTTTCTTATGCTAATGTTCTGATTATTGGAAAAGTTATTCCTATCAGTATTACATTTGTGTTTGGACTTTTGGCTTATCATAATGTACAAGAATTAGGCTACCGCACTGTACCGCTCGTTCGTCGTGAATTAGACAAACAACTAACAGTGATGATTTTAGTCCTCATTGTTTTTGCTTTCTTTACTAATATGCCATTTGTTATTGTAACCATTCTGTCAGCAATACCAGGACTCAATCAAGATCCTGTCTTATCAGCACAAATACAATTTGTTAACCTTGTGGCCACATCTCTTGTTTATATATATTTTGCAGTGAGTGTGTTTTAATTAAACATATAGAATGAGAAAATTTCTTCTTCTAATTTTAGAGTCCATTTTACATATATGTATGTGTGTCTAATCGATTTCGTCGACAGTTCATATATGTATCATTTGAGATATATCTTAATCGATGGCAACTAGGAAGAATGGCAATCAATCAGGTTATGCCAGAAACTTGAATAGTATCAGATACCGATGTCTATTCATTACAAAAAAAAATTTTTCAAATGTTGTTTTAGTGTTGTAATTGTAAAATGATTATTGTTTTCTTTTCTTGAGAATATTTGTTGAATAGTTAGATTCAAATGAAATAAAAAACATCCACTGCATACTTGTTTGCTTAGGCATCGATGTTTGATAATTGATGGTAATAATAAGAGTATAAATATAGTTTCTACTAATTAATAACGAAATATGAACTGGTTTTGCTTGAACTCTTTAATTCAGTAATATCTATTGCATAATAAAAAGACTAATTAGAAGCGAACATAACAAAACGCCAGCAGACTGAACATATTAGCAACATTTTAGTGTTGTTTTTGAAGAACGAATAAAATGTATATTTGTTTTGTTATTATCTTGCAATGTCGCATGAATGAATTTCTTTTGCAGAAATGTAAGTGAAGTAATTCTCTTCGATACTTTTCATGTATTTTAGAAGGGGTATGAGTATGACTTCAATATGATATTCATATCTTCACACCATCATTCATATTCACCCATCCAGATTTAGATTCACACCCTCAATAAGATATAAAGGTTTACTTCTTATTGGATGTATTCCGATCGCGGTAGCTTTCATACATCCTCAAGATGAATAGCAGTAATCTTTTTTTTCTCTTTCTGTCAAAATTGTGCTTGTCAAAGATAAAGGAAAAAACCGAGCAGCGTCTCGACATGTGCTTGTTGGAGTTCTCCAATTTTGATAACAGAGATGTATATAAGTGAAATATCTTTCTCTGAAAATCATCATAAATACTACTAAAATCACAAGTGAAAATCAATTTGAAAAATGAACGCAATATTAGAGGAAGTAAGAGAAAGTGATTATGTAACAACACTCCAGCAGCTACCAAATGAAATTCAACTGATGATTCTGAAGTATCTGTCATTCTACGATTTATACAACGCATTCTTCGACATTAACTCAAGATTTAATACTCTTCGGTACTGTATTACACCGAAAACATCAAATATTCGTGCATTAAATGACGATATACATATGTTTGAAAGACACTATCGATGGAAATTTGTTTCTCAAAAGAGTGATGAGCAATTGAAAGAAACATCATAAACTTACCATCAGATTCTACCTGTAATTTCTAAATATCCAGTGCGCCTGAACATTCTGTTCTGGATTTTCAATGTCTGTGCTATTAAAGAATTGTACTTTCTCCCCAACAGATTTCCGCAATGGATAAAAGAAAACTATAGTGAACAACATAAAATTATTCTTGATTCGGACAGCCGTTGGTACACGAATGAAGTGTGTAATGCTTTTACACAAATAAACAAACTGGAAAAAGAAAGGCAGGAACAAGCAAAGAAGATTTGGTGTGAGTTGAGAGAAACAGAACAATTTCTTATCTCAGATCTACCAGCTTTTCCACAACAAAACTAAACTTGAAGTGTTTTCATTCTTCCTCACATCTTTGTACAGTCAAAACAGAGTATGCATTTTTCTGAAAAAAACAAAACTACTATAACTGAGTTTTTTCTTTTACCTTCTACAGCAGCCGCTAACATAAGAATGTGGGTACTACGAAAACGATACCCACATCCATACATACGCTCACTTTTTCTTATTGTCAATTTCCTGCACGTTGAGGACATATGATCGCATCAACGACTTGTAATGATTAACAGAAAGAAAATGAATATCTTTCTAGATTCTACAGTATCATATATGTCAAAACTAATAGAAAAAAGCTGAAGTTTTGATTGTCTTTAATTGTGAATGATTATCCAACTTCGTTTTTATCATGGCATATTTGATTCTGGCATTTTTTAAGAGTTTTTGCTTTTGAACATCATGGCATTCTTGACAAGAAAAATGAAAGTAGATTAAAACTTCTAGTGTTCACTTAAATTATCTTTTCGAAGCTAATGCAACAAGCTGCAACAAGAAGATTAAAAAATGAACAGTATGTGCATGCGTTTGTCAAAAGATGGAAATGAAATGAAAATGATACAAGAAAGAATATTTATATATTTTTTTCTTTCTCTCATATATCACATACTCGTATGAACGCACGATAAAGAAGTGGCAAATATCGATGTAAATTATATATTGCATATCTACTGTTCATTACGACTATCTTCGATTTATAGGACATATTTCCATGTTTATTCTAATGATATGATATAATTTAGACTACAATGAACAGTAAATAAAACTTATCTGCACTATTCTGAATGAAAACCACCTTAATCTCGAAAATTTTCAATCATTGCTTTGATTGTAACCAGCTGTTCCCTCTTTAGTCAAAATGCTAGGTATCCTCAAAATCATGAAACAATACAATATCTCTGTTGTCTTTTTCAATGTAACTCAAAATTCAATCACTTGGGTTTAATACGGTTAAATAGAATATTATCAAACTATATTCACACCATATAATATCTTAGTTATTTTAATTTTTATATAAATGTTTTTATTATACTTTTTTCTTCATCTTTCTATTGTTAACTATCAAGAATATTAATAAAAAAAGAAAATATTTAGTTTTCAATATCAAAATAAAGAAAATTTTACAAGCATTGTATGAATTTCAAAATTCTTTATATGGCATTATATAAATGAAAAAAAGATACCATTCATGATTAGTAATCTAAAAATACATGATAATTTTGCAATATTTAATTAATATAGACGCTATGATAGAAATGAATTTCATTGATGCATATAACATGCAATTATGTTCTTTTCTTTCATTTTTTAAAGACCTTCATTTCACTGGAAATAATAAATATAATGAGTGCTCAATCAAGTATATACAGATAATTAGTCATGCGAAATAATAATATCGGAGTTCTTTGATAATATCAAAGAATACCTTATATATAAATATATACCAAAAGAAAAAATTCATTTTATTAAAATTACACATCGAGAAGAGCAGAAGCCAAACAAAAAAATGTCGTCATCAATTATTTCATTACTTGCTTTAGCTGGTAAACAAATAACTATTTACTTGGGTACATTTACTCTTGTTGCTGGTGTTATTGGTGGATTACTCAACATTGTTGTTTTTCTCAGTCTAAGAACTTTCCGAAAAAGTTCTGCTACATTTTATTTGACTATTATGTCCATTTTCAATATAGGCCAAATGCTTACGGGTTTACTCTCTCGTATTATGACTAGTGGTTTTGGTATTGATTGGTCATTAACATCTTTATTTTATTGTAAATTTCGATTTTACTGTTATAATATATGCGCAGCAACGTCAATGACTTGTATTTGTCTGGCAATCATTGATCAATATTTAGCCACTTCTTCCCGTGCACAATGGCGACAATGGTGTAATATGAAAATAGCTCGTCGTTTGGTATTCCTATTTGTTCTCATTTGGATTATTCATAATATTCCTTATTTGATCTATTATGATCAGGTTATATCGACAACAACAGGCAAAGTTACATGCATAAACACAAATACTATTTTTGTACAATATAATATCTATGGTACTACTCTAATTCTTGGAAAACTTCTTCCTATCAGTATTACATTTGTGTTTGGACTTTTGGCTTATCATAATGTACAACAACTAGGTTATCGGACGGTACCTCTTGTGCGTCGTGAATTAGATAAACAACTAACAGTGATGATTTTAGTTCTCATTGTTTTTGCTTTCTTTACTAATATGCCATATACTATTGTACTCATTCTATCAGCAGTGCCAGGACTCAATCAAGATCCTGTTGTATCAGCACAAATACAATTTGCCAATCTTGTAACCACATATCTTGCTTATATGTATTTTGCAGTAAGTGTGTTTAAATTAAATATATAGAATGAGAAGAATTCTTTGTGTATTTTTAGAGTCCGTTTTACATATATGTTTGTGTATCTAATCGATTTCGTCGACAATTGATACATGTATCATTTGAGATATATGTCAATCGATGTCGAGGAAGAAGAATGACAATCAATCAAGTTATGCCAGAAACTTGAATAGTATCAGATATCGATGTCTATTCGTTAGAAAGTGTTTTCAAAAGTTATTTTAGTGTTGTAATTGTAAAGTGATCGTTGTTGTTTATTAATATTAAAAAATAACACCAAGTCAGCTTATTCTTTTCTTGAGAATGTTTGTTGAATTATTAGATTCAACAAAAATAGAAATAATCCATTCTATATTTGTTTGATGAAGCATCGATGTTTGATAATTGATGATAATAATAAGAGTATAAATTTAATTTCTTCTAATTGATAACGAAGTATGAACTTGTTCTGCTTCAACATTTTAATTCACTAACATCTATTGCATGATAAAAAGACTATATAATTAGAAGCGCGTATAACATAATACAAGCAGTCTAAATAGATGAGCAACGAAGAAAATGTAGATTTGCTTCTTTATTATCTTACAAGGACGCATGAATAAATTTTTTTTTATTATTTTATTCAATGGCAGTTTCTAACACTTATGAAATCAATTCAATGGTTTAAATATAGATCATTTATTTGCCACCTATATATAAAATTTTATAATTAACTGAGGATGTGAGGATATTTTGATCAACCACTTCTATACGCTGACAGATAATATTTGTGTTAGGTCGAATTATTTTGCTTTATCTTCCGAAGTCCTAGGTACATTTTTATTTCGAAGGAAATCAAACAAGGATGAGTACATCACATAGCTATTCTGTTCACATCGATACTCACACTTGCTCATACCGACGCCCACCCTCAAGAACGAACTTCTGTATAAGAATTCAATGACATGAATAAGAATGTTAAGCGATGATACAAGAGCATCAAGTCTTATTTCGCAATATATTCATATCCCATGACTTTCTCGCTTAAGAAGTTCACAAAGTTCATAGACTTAAGAAAAATGTTCGACTGTGATGTCTATTTATAGTAGTGATCGTCTATCGATGTACGTGGACAATCCACATTTTTTTCTACAAGCTACGTTGACGTCCAAAGGATACCCGAGTATCATTGTGCTCAAATTATTGATATAATGGTCATCTTCACCGAAGCCAACAGATAAAGGACTGTCAGGAAAACGGAACATATTTAAAGCGAGTGTTAATAAACCGGGATCTTCGTAGTTGTAAGCGTCGAGCTGCGTAGAAGTATCGCAATCCAATTTCTGTACGAAATGAATAGCTCCTTTCGGAATCACGGTATCGTATCCGACGCCGAGTGTATTGAGGATGAGCTGTGCATGATTCTCCGTGATGAAGCCGACTAGAAGAGATTTTTCATCAATACTGTAGATACCTTTGGAGCCGCGAGGATGTATATGAGGTAAGATGATGCCACAGGGTTCCAACATGGCTAGCGAGAAAGCTATGCCTATACCAGCTAAAGCGGGTGTGGTGGTGAGATTGAAGTAGCTGACATTTCCTCCAGGAGTATTTACCCAATATGAAGGATTTAAGAGATTTCTGACATAGTCTGAGGATTGGAATCGATTAGAGTTCTGCAATCCAGTGAGCGGAGTTTGACATGCTGCGGATTCACAAACATTCGATGACTGAGAATTCTCGCCGCTACTGTCGTTTGATGTGTCACACTTCGCAACTGACAAGAAGGTGACTGGGATGAAGACCAATAGGATGAAGACTCGCTGTTGTCGCTGCATTGAAAAAGTGTCCTAAATGATGAATAAAACATATATGTATATATATAATTGCAACTTGAATTTAACTATTTGTCAAGAGTGCAAAGGTGGGTTCGAAGGGATAGTTGTGAGTAGTTCTTCTAAAGAGGGCCAATATTGTAATGATGTTTGTCCCCTCTTTGTTATTTCTTTTCATTCGATGTATTGTCCTTATTCCATACATCATATCTCGATAAGAAGAAATATAATAAAGTGTAATATAACCAACATAACGAGCTCTGAAATAGAAAATTATCATTTAAAAAGCGCACATGTGTATTCGCTTTTTATTTCTGTGATCACTGATGCATAGATCAGTATTTTTACCTTAACGAAACAATAAGCAAGCAGTAAGATAGATGAGCCTGTAGCTAAAGTGTTTTGTTTTACATCAAACATATGACGGACGTTATCTGTAATAAATATATGAAAACAAAAAAAATATATACATAAATTAGTCAACTTTCTTACATTAACGAAGCACATGTAGGTAATAAGATACAAAAGCGTATATCCAAGCAATATTCGTCTTTCATCTCACAAGACATTGTTGTTTGCAGATATTTCTAACACATTTGAAGAGGATTAACGATACATGCGTAAATACTTATTGAGAAGGGAATATTAAGTTAACAATTCGTATACAAATACGAAGAGAACGGTAGCATTGATCTTGATTTTTTACGGATAAATTAATGTGTGTATTAGCTGTCGTAATCTACATTTCGGTCTTTTAAAATCTCTTATCATATGGCATAATTGTGTGATTTTTGGACGCTCTGTTTGACTCGGATACTTTCTGTTATCTAAGTCTAATTCGTCAAAAAACTAAAAGGTTAAACGTAATGATAAATAAAAACTAAAAATTCTCTCTTCTAAAGATTTATTATACCAACGATCACAGCAGACGGCGATTCTCGTGTTATACATATATACTTCATTTTCGACAGAAGATTAGGCTACATCGTCGTTTGTTTCGTCATAAAGTTACTCTCTCTTTCTCACAGGTCTTGGAACAAAACTGAATCAAGTTTTCATTGACCATGCTTGTCGTCGAGGTTATCAATATGTGATTGTTGATACAACAAACACAACTGTCCATGGTCTAGAGCAATGAATTAACAGAACACACTCATTTTCATCTTTTGTTATCAGTATTGAGGATGGTTGTGAATAGGAAAATAAGGGTGAAACAGGAATGAACATCACTACTCACTTCTTCACATCCACACACACACCATTAAGATAGTCGATATTTAAAGTTCTGCAACATACTTTTTATTTCAATGATACAGATACAAACTAGCTAATAGAATTTAAAATGTTCGGTTAATATTCTTCGACAAAGATTTTTATAAGCTTTGCTCGGTTAATTCGATGACAACACTTTTTCGCTTATCATCCACCATTGGATTAAACCCACATGTCAATAGATAATCGCCTGATACATTGTTCTCATTGATAATTGTTGAGTTGTTCGTGTCTGGATAAATATTTATTTCTTGAATTTTGTAAGTTTTAGTTGGATCTAATCCTTTTAAGAGAATCGGACGATTACTGCCCGCTCGATATCGGTTATTAATTAAATAAGTGAACCAGATTGCTTGGCTTTGATTCTCATTGACATACATTAACGAGGCTATGTCACTACCAGATCGATATGGTGATACAAGTCGAAATAGATCACCATACCATATAATATGTTTGATACGATTATAGATACGTAATGACTCCTGACTAAAACTAAGCTCATGTTCATCAAGTTTGCTCACTACAATATCATAACCTAATTTGCCCATCATAGCCACATCTGTTCGAAACTTTAAAGATTGTTTTCCCCAATCAGTAACATGATTACACGTGGCAATTGCTGGAAAAAAGAAAGAATAGCTCCATTGAATGAAAACACGTTCGATACCATCAGTGTTGTCACTTGGCCAAAATTCAGTGAAATACTGGAGAGCACCATAATCAACTCGTCCTCCGCCGCCTGAACATAACATAATTGGTACAGTTGGATATTTTCGACGAAGACGATCAAGAACATTGTATAGACCATGAACATAATCTACGTAGAGATGTGATTGATGAGGATTTGTTGATGAATAAGCATTATAAATGACAGCATTACAGTCCCATTTAATGTATGCTAACATTGGATGCTCGGTAAACATTCGATCAACAAGACCATAGACAAAATCTTGTACTGCTTTATTTGACAGATCAAGAACAAGTTGATTTCGATAGTAGTACTCGGGCCGATTAGGTGCTTTTATTACCCAGTCAGGATGATTCTCGTATAGCTCACTTTTTGGATTAACCATTTCTGGTTCTAACCAGATACCAAACTTAATTCCAGTTACTTCAGCTTCCTTTATTAAATAGCCAATACCATGCGGCAATTTCAGAACATTTTCTTGCCAATCACCTAAACCTGCTCGATCGTCATTTCTGGGATATTTGTTGCCAAACCAACCATCATCAAGAAGAAACAAATCAACGCCAAGTTTCTTACCATCTTTGATCAATGCAGCTAACGTATTCTCATTGAAGTCAAAAAATGTTGCTTCCCAGTTGTTGAGTACGGTAAGTCGAGTGTCTTCTCCTTGTGGAATACGAAATTTTCTCGCCCAACGATGTAAATTTCGACTAGCCATACCTGAACCATGGTATGAATAGGTGAACAGAAAACTAGGCGTGACAAATTCCGTATCAGGAGCTAAGATGTATTCTGATGCGTATGGATTGATACCAGCAATAAGACGTAAATTATTCAATGGATCGATTTCAAACTGTATCTGATAATTACCAGACCAGGCCAATGTACCAATCAAGACTTCGCCATGATCATCGTTATCTTTGTCTATCGGCTGATTCATTGATAAGAGAAAGGAAGGTGCTTGGAAAAGATCGGCTCGAGTTCCTAGTTTAGTATCCAATACTTTTATACCAGCAGTGAGAAGCATTTCTTCTGGTTTTAATTCCTTTGCCCAGTCACCGTGAAAATGTGTTAGATAGTAGCTGTGAGCTGAACTGAGATATAGATTGGCTGAACTGTACTTTTGTAAACGTACGACATCGGTTTCTGTATGTCTGATACTTGTCCACTGTTCGATAACATTCTCTTTGTAATAAGCTTTATAGTAAAGGATTACTTCGAAAGGATACACTGGATCTTTGAGTTGAATCTTGGTCAATATGATCGCACTGGAGCCATTTACCATATCTTGCTTATGAGAAACATACTTTAAGTCTAACGATGGATTGCCGTCAGCATGAATAACTTGAATAGCGGGTTCCAGCAAATTGCGCGTACCACTTGGCGTGTAAGCCGCGCTGTACTGTCCACTATAATCACCATTACGCTGTTTAGCGTCGAAGCTAGGAATTGATGCATATTCTGTACTATTGCAAAGTCGTTTTCCAATGTAAACCAGCAATGGATCCCGATTTTGATTTACACGAATAACAAGCGCCGTGTCTTCCGTTTCGATAGGAATATGCATTATTTCGCCTTCACGACCTACAAGATACACAAAATATACGATGTACACGTTTTGAAATTTCTCGAACTGTCAGAATTGTCAAGGAAAAAATAAAATGTTAAATTCTCACCGTGTAATCTAATGTCAGAATTGACTTCTTTGAAGTTGCTACCATTGCTCAAAGAGCGCGAAAGGTTATTAGCAAATTATTTAGCGTTATGTTTTCTTCACTGTTAAATATTTTTAATGTTATGATAAAAAAACTAGTTCACTTACTGTACATGTTACAATCGATTCTGATGAATATGCAAGTAAAAATGATGAAAATGTATGCTTTCGAAAACATTTTACGTTGTTATTGACGTGTTGGATTAACAGTATTGAATGATTCTTTTTTTTCAAAGGATATATGCATAAAGGCGACATCAATAAAGAGATTAACGGTAGTATTTATTCATTCTTAAGTTTAACAAGCCTTTCGAGTACAAAAAAGAAAATATGTTTATTTCAGGTGTTTTTTGCATAGGTTATATAGAAAGAAACTGGCAAGAAGGATACAAGTGCTTAACCTTTCAGTATTTTGCATATATTCACACTTTAAAAGTATTCATCTCTCTAAGAGTAACCGTAAATGGCTACTATTTGGTTATAAAACTCACTTGTGTGTTCAGATTATGTTAGACAAAAGAAAAATTGGATTGAATCCTATGATTCTGACTTCACCCCGAAAGTTGATCTATAAACATGCAGATACTACTTCGGAAGTATTGCATAACAAAGAATGTTTTATTATGATTTTAATAAATAGAGAAATTTTATATTAATGTACTGATTCAAGCATGATAATTTCGATGGTGGCCACATAGACAATGACGATAAGCTGTTTGATCAGATTTGTTGTCTTGTAAGGGCAATCCGCTAGCACTTGCTTGTAAACTGACTCCCTTTACATTCCCTGCTACTGATGCGTTTGAATCAGAAACGAATTTTTGCACTGCTGAGACAGGATTCCATCGAAATCCTTTGCAAGCACATTTACGACATTTACCATCCATTTCTTTTTATTGTATACAGTCACTATATCGTGTCTTCTTCCGAGCTTTATCTCACAAGTTGGAGAATGAGTAATATGTTATAAAGGCAAATAATGTTTTTTTTCATGGGCATTGATTATTACAGTATATTGGATTTGATAAATTAAATTCATTTTTTATTATCTTGAATGTGTGATTTATCTTTAGAGATGAGTTTTAATTTTTATATGAAACTCTCAATTATAATCGTGAAACATCTACCTAATTACAACAAGTATAAGAATTGCATATCAAAATAAGACAATGACTAAGAAGAACGACGAAGAGAATAATGGTTAATATTATTTATATCTTATCATAGCAAATAAATGTATGAAGACGTCTTTTTTTTACTGATACTAACACATTGAAGTAACTCATATTCTGTGTTTGAATCTTATCTATTTTACTTTGATCATCTGCACACCTGCTTCTGTCGTTTTATATTATTAGAGATTGTGAAAAAAAGTTTTCAAATACATACGTCTGTAACTTGAAACAATGACAAGTCGATTTACTGGAGGAACAGTGGAAATAAATAAGTGAGTATTTTTGTATGATCTGTGAATGATGAAGACATACTCCTCTATATTGTCTTTCAGTCCATCACCAACATCTGGATCTCGTTTTCTGACATTACCCAGAGTGCTTGGTGTTCTTGTAGGAATATTTGCTATTACTACAATTATCTTCGCTACTTTCTATGCTATCGAAAAAAATAAATCACCGATCATAGAAATACCAACGACATTCGACACTACACCAACCACTACTATAATAGTGACTACAACACCCATCACTACAACAGTGACTACAGCACCCATCACTACAACAGTGACTACAACGCCCGCTGGTATGATTCTTTTTTTTTTAAAATAGAAATCGAATGATTAAATATTTATAGCTACACAAGATTTGTGTCTGACTCCATATTGTATCAAAGCAGGTAAATGTTTGCTCTTTCGATTGAAATTGATAGAAAAGAAATATTTTCTGTTCTAGCTGATTACTTGATCGAAAGTATTGATGAATCAGTTGAACCATGTGAGGATTTTTTTAATTTTGTTTGTGGTACATGGATTAAGAATACACGGATACCTGATGATGGTAAGTCTTTTGTTTTGCATATGTATTAGTATTTTTTCTTAAGTTTAGCTGGTGCACAACAAACTTTTAATATGTTAACACATGACTTGGATTACAATATCGTCGGTAAGACCGATTTAAATAAGTATAGACTTTATTTAATATTAATTTCACATAGATTTATTGTCGTCGTCACCTTCCAATGAAACAGTGGAGCCTGTCGCAGTTGTAAATGCACGACAGCTGTATAAATCATGCATAAACGAAACTGCGATTGAAGCCGACGGTGTCGATCCGATTCTTTCACTGGTTAACTCAGAATTTGGAGGTTGGCCTATTCTTGTAGGTCCATTATGGGATCCTTCCATGTTTAATCTAACAAATCTCTTGATTGCCCTTCGAAAATACAATAACAACATGTTTTTTCGTGTTGTCACATCAACAGATGAAAAGAATTCGACCTCGTACGATATCGAAGTGAGTGTAAAAACTGATTGACACTTCTATTTAACTGTTATTCTTAATGTTTACTTTAGATGGGCCAGGGTGATCTTGGTCTAGGACAGAAGCAATATTATATGTCTGAAACGCCCGTGACGATTGCTTATCGTCAATTCATGACAGATGTGGCAAAAGCATTGACTAACGATATATCAATGATCGCTCAAGATGTTACAGATATATTCGAATTTGAAAAAACTATTGCTCAAGTATTTATCTCTAATCTTCTCCTAATATAATTAAAATGACATTAATTCGTATGTGTTTAGTACCACTGGACAGTTGCTGAACAACATGCACGTGATAATGAAACTATTCGAACAACAATCGATGACTTGTCGACGATACTGAATACTACTGTAAATTATTTTGCTAGTTCTTTTCATTTCAATATTCGTTGCTTAGTTTGATTTCAATGAGTATCTTACTCGTGCCTATATGCTAGGCAATGTGACACTATTCGGCACGGATATTGTCTCTATTAGTGAACTGGACTTTTTACGAAATGTTTCATTGCTTGTTGAACAAACACAACCACGCATAGTACAAAACTATGTCATCTGGCGTTTTATGATGAATCGAGTAGCGAATCTTCCTCAACATTTACGCATTTTGAGAGAACGATTCATTCGAGTAATTGGAGGTACTACTGCAGAACCACCACGTACAATCACCTGTGGTAACTTTGTAAATGGTAACATGGGTTTTGCTGTTTCGAAACTTTATATAAAAAAATATTTTGACGAGACTGCCAGAAGTGAAGTATGTGATGATCCTCTATTGACATTCCTCTAGTTTAATTTATTTAATTCTAGTCATTGGAAATGATTAATAATATTCGAAGTGCATTCATCGGAATGGTCAATCAATCTACTTGGATGGATATGACATCGCAGAGTAGAGCCATTGAAAAGGTAAAAATTATCTTATTGAAAGTAATTAGAAACGGAGTCAATATTATTTAGGCACTAGCAATTGATCAAAAAATTGGTTATCCAGATTATTTAGCCAGTGACAATAATACAAAATTAGATGAAGATTATGCTGAAGTAAAAAAAAAGATTTTATAGTCAAATAAAACTATGTACTGATCTTAGGATGTATTCTTACTTTCTCTTTTTATTATCTAGTACAATTTCGACACGTCCTATATCAATAATGTTCTTAAATTACTTCAAATTAACGCAAAAGAAAGTTTCCGTGTTCTCCGAGAACCAGTCGATAAGAAAGCATGGGGTGATGCACCGCCCAGTATAGTCAATGCGTTCTATGAACCATCAAAAAATCAAATCAGTATGTATATTGCACTTGTCTCGATCATCTCAAATACAAAACACACTTCTAATCTATTTTAGCTTTTCCTGCTGGAATTTTGCAAAAGCCTTTCTTTGACAAGAATGCACCGAAGTAAACTATCTTTTCAGCAGCATTTCTATCATTTTGTATATTTTCTCTCTTTCTAACATTTAGATATCTCAACTATGGTGGTAAGTTTTGATAGTAGTAAGATATTTTACTATATTATCGATATTTTAGGAATTGGAGTGGTTATCGGACATGAAATTACACATGGTTTCGATGATATGGGTCGACAATTTGATAAAGAAGGAAATCGAATTCCATGGTGGACTGATGAAACAATCGAAAAGTTTAAGGAGCGTAAAACATGTATTGTCAATCAGTACAGTAACTATACAGTAGCACAAATCAATATGACGGTTTGTATATTCTTAATAGATCGATTGATTACATTTAATTATTTGTTAGGCAAAAGGTGATCAAACACAAGGTGAAGATATTGCTGATAATGGTGGTCTTCGAGAAGCTTATTTTGTAAGTATTTCTCTTTGCTTATATTATAATCTTCGATTGTGATATTACAAAGTAAATTATCTTGGTACATGAAATTTCTTTTTATTTAGGCCTACGAAAAATGGGCGGAAAAAAATGTAAATAGCGATAAGCGACTACCAGGTTTACAGAAATATTCACCGGAACAAATGTTCTTTATCAATTATGCTCATACTTGGTGCATTAAAATGACCGATCAATATGCTCTGAGCCGAGTTTTAACAGATGTTCATTCACTGGGACAGTTCAGGTTTTTTTCTAATTTTATTTTAGATTCCATA